TTGATGGAGATAACAAGGGAAACAAAGACTGACACGTGGATACAAGTGGTAGTCAAACTGTCTACATGATTTGCCATCTGCATTTGGACATCTTTTAGGAAAACAAGTTCTTTCCAAATGGTGTAAGTTTCAAACTTCGTTTCATACGAAGTAATGATGCATTATAACAAGCAAAGAAGCAGGTTTCAAGGCTGTTCTACAACACATTTCTATCTACATTAGGAAAGTCAAAATCAGTTCGTAAAGTTGTTTTGTCACATGCTAACGTCTTTCAGAAAGCAACTGCTAAATATACTTTCAAATATATAGAGTGCAAATCATTTTAAATTCTTCAAGGAAACTTGCAAGCATCTATCAGTAATGCATTTTTAGGTCGAGTACCTACACATCTTGTTATAAGATGTGTTGATAATGACGCGTTTAATGGATTTGGAAGAAAAATCCATCAATTTGAAACATTACGGTTTAAATTTCCTGGTAATCAATGTGGATGGAAAACAGATTCCTACTCAACCTTTACAATCAGATTTTGATATTGACTTGTATGCACGAAGATATGACACATTATTTAGCAGAATGGGAAAACAGTTTCAAGATCAAGGAATTGATATGCGTATGATGAACACTCGGGAAAATATACACTCTTTGTATTTTACCTTACACCCGACCTATCTGTTGCAGATTCACACTTTAACTTAATGAAGCAGGGAAAATGAGATACAGTTTGTTAGTGTCTTACTCAACACGGCGAATGTTCTCGCCTATGAGGAATTCCAGTCAATTTTAAAAGTTGATCAGTCTAGAAACGTCATAACTGATATGTAAGAAGCTATGAACTCTATAAAAATATATTCAATACTCTCACAAGATTTCTGTATGTAAAAGAAGCTTGGAGGCGTGTTTGCCAGAGTTAACTACTTGACCCTACAGAAAAAAACAAAACAAAAAAAAACTGTACATCATCAGTCTGGATCTGAGTCCTAAACCTGGTGGCCATTGGGTCTGTATTTACTTTGATCAAAATGAAAAAAGATAATATTTTGATCCATTAATACTGCCTACTCATAATATCAACATAAGAAAATTTATCACAAATAACTGTCGAACGTGTACTTAAATAAAAAAAGTATTTGTCTGTATGTGGACAACAATATATATATATATATATATATATATATTATATTTATTAGGCCCCCCCAGTGACACAGCGGTATGTCTGCGGACTTACAACGCTAGAATCCGGGTTTTGATACCCGTGGTGGGCAGAGCACAGATAGCCCATTGTGTAGCTTTGTGCTTAATTACAAACAAACAAACAATATCTATTACTATTGTAGAAATGTATCGAAACGAAAAATGTTAAAGAAATTTAACTCTGATAAGATTATTAATATGTTTGTTCATAATTTAGTTCAAAAAGATTTCATGTGAATGTTCCTTAGGTCATTGTTGTGAATTTATTTAAAATAAAACAAAAAATATTCGCAAGTTTTATTTTATTTAGAATACCAAGATATCATAAAATTGATATTAACAGAAATTAGAAATCAAGTTTTCTAACACAATTTGAACTCATCAAATGTAGGAGATTTACAGAGTTTATCTGTCTAGTAATTCTTGAATAAAATCATATTTCTCAATTATACCTCAGAGCCTCAAATCAGTAAATGCATGCAAGTTTAACTTACTAGCTCTTTCTTGAAATATAGCTTATATAATATATTTATCAACTTGTTCCAGGGAAGTCCTCAAATACATCAAGATACCTTCTTCATGATCTAACATGACACATATATAATGAACTTGACTGGGATCACATGCCTCGCAGTTCTCCTTTGTAAGCTTTTGTATGGTAGGATAAATATGTTCAACATAAACTTCAAATAACAGATTTTAAGATTTTCGTTATCAGAGATTAACTTTGAATTATCTTGAGTTAATTGATTTAAATATGAATCTACAAAACAAATATGTTTACAAAATCTGCACCATTCTGATTTATTTAAGGTAAGAAGAATTGTCAAAATGGCATTAACTTTAGAATGAATAGTAAATTGAATAGAAATATTATTTGACTCATCACACACAACACTCCTGAACATATTTAAACTGAATAGCCTTAGTCACTGAATGGGTCCATTTCCATTGTTTAACTTCTTGCCATTCATTTTGGGAAAATGTTAAACCTTCTTTCATGGGGTATAATTTATCATTCCCGTAGTCTCTGTACTGATAGATGTATATCTTCAATTCTTCATTGCATGTAGCTATCGCGATATAACAGTCATTTCTCAGTGGATATGCATGAGATTGTTCTGGTGGATCATTTCTTCTGAATAGGAATGATGAACCTTGTTGTTGTTCCTCCATCTGATTGTGAGCTGTACTTTTCTTTGCAGCCAAAGTACACTAAAAATTATAACATTAGTAGAAATTATTGAAATCTAAGAATTCTATGTATAAAAACTAGTAATAATAACCAAAAACTAAGCTGAATGACAGATACAAAGACAACATAATATTGATATACTATTTTTGCATACTGGCTCATATATTTTTCGTAAGTGAACTTAGTCAGCATTAGATTGAGACAAGACCAAAGAGCACTGGAGTCCCACTACTACTATGGCTAAAATAACTGTCACGTAGAAATTAAGGCAGTTATAACTATTTTTCGAACTTCGTTCAGACTCACATATGCACAGTTGTTTTGAACATACTATCACAGAAAGCCGCTACCAGAATTCGGTGACAGTGATCTTAAAATTAAAATTTAGCTAAATTACAATCAAAAACACAGATGTGTTTCTTACAATATGTCAAAGTTGAGAGTTCTCCGTAATCCTATGTAGCGTTACACTATCAGGTCTCATTAGAAAACAACAACACGAATGTGTTTTTTAGAATCGGACTTTGAAAACATCCTTTGACTTCATGAGCTTGAGAAATCAAATTGATACAGTATATTAATTATAAAAGCGAAATCTATAAATCTAATGAAATAGTATGACAAAGACAAAATATTTTGTCAAGAACTTTTTGCTATTATGCTAAAAAATACATAAAAACAATCAGTGAAATATCTGTCTCGCTCAAATATGAACATATAAAGGTGAAACCTATAATGTTGATGACGTAATCATATGATATTACCCTCTCCTAGCAACGCACCTTCTGGTGCCAGATAACTTTTATGGCTCAAAAATAAATTAATAAATAGTATTGATGATGTAATCAAATGATGCCACTCCTCCTCTAGCAATGCACCCTCTGGAGTTGATGACGTAATCATATTATGTCACCCTTCTCCTAGCAACGCGCTCCTTGTAACACGCTCTCTAGTATCAGACAAATTCCACTGGTCAGGTAGAGCCCTAACTATTACATTGGTATGATGTATTTGATGTCAGAGTTACCAACGATTCATTTTACCCTACATTGCTGAAGACAGTGGTGATAGAAGTGAATAAATACCCAAGATACTGTAAAGGAATATCAAAAAAATCTGTAGATACGCATATTGGAGATCATGCAAATGGAATGTACAAACTGTACGATAGACAAAAGATTTCTATACTTTACATGAACATCATTTTGCACTCCTACTCGCCAGATTGACGTCGTCAGTTCACAGGCATATCTAGAGTACAAATACGTTTGTAACACATCTGGCTTTGTGTGTACCACAGAGTTGTATATTTTACTAAAAGCTTGCCATATTTCATGTATATACACTTAGTAAATTCGGAATTATAGCCAATGTTCCTTTTCCATTACGTGGGCAGTCCATTTGACCGACCCTATGTACATTCAGTTAATAACTGTCCCTGTTTAATAGAAGTCAACACAATAGACAAACACAATGAGATTTACAAATATCTAACGAGCTTGGGTCTCTTACGAAATGCGATGATGCTTAATGGTGGTGTATTCATTTCCAATCCTAAGGAGAGAAAATTCGGTGATGTATAATTCTACAAAAGGTTCAGCCTAATCTATAATTTTTCAAACACTTCAAATATTTCTCACACGCTAATAGCGTTTGGTTCTTTTAAAAATCTCACAAATGATCCCAAAAACATTTTTTATATATAAATGAAGGAAGTCCTGCTTTCAGACAAAGAAATGTTTTAGTGTGTTTAATTTTCTGTTTGTAAAATGTACAAGATTTACCTTTAAGTCTCCTACCATTCAATAAAACTCGAAATAATTTTAATTAAAAGCCAAGAATTATAAAAAAGTTTCAAATGTGGACTTGCCAAATTCTGGATGTCCATAAACTTACGATTTTGAAATTAAAAAAGGAAACGCAGATATAGTTACATTAAAAGTGATATTATGTCACAAGTTTTAGAAGTGCAAAAAGTAAGCTTTTATCATTTTGAAAATATTATGGTTACAGCTCCTACAATGGCGTTCGTTGCAATTATATAACATAACATATGGACAACAAGGGGCCATTTGGTTCTTCAAAGTTGTCCCTGCAGATACATTCCCAAGAGAAAAAATTAAATAAACCAACGTTTTTATATTTTTTCAGGACATTTTCGATTCTTCTCATCATCTCCACTTATGAACAAACACATCAAATGCCTTTTAAGCCTAATCTTTTGGTAACTACTAGATGAAAGGTTGGAACTGTTTTTCGTGAATATTTGAATTCATAGTTATCAAATTCACGAAATCTGCCACATGTAGTGGTCATTTCTTCTTATCATTAAATTTGTATTTACGGAAAAGCTATTAAGGCTATCCGCTGCGGCCATAATTTTGAGCTACTGACTACAGGGAAAGCAGCTAGTCAGCACTCAGCAGTACCAGATTGACCGTTACTATTTTAATATAACTCGTATTTTTTAACAGTTTAACAAAACTGATATAACTTACTTTTTTTCCATGCAATTTTTCAATGTAAATATACAAATTTATATATATATATATATATAACGGATATTTACATGAATTTTTTGATTAAGTTTCGTATAAGCGCATGAATACACTGATCAGTACATGCACACTGGTAGTGGCATGGTGATTGACCATTAAGGAACGTTGTTGGTTTCTGTATAGTTAGGTCTAAGGAGGTGTTTTGCGCAAGTGTACCTGCCTTTTGTTGAGGAGATTTGTACTAATTGGACTGTTACAATATTAAACTGTTAAGATATTGTTCATTCTGTTTAATTATTAACCTTAAGTGACAAATAACTCGTTTGGATTATTTAAAAATGACGGAGAGAGAAGATAACGTGTATGAAGCCAAATTAGCCGAACAAGCGGAGCGTTATGACGGTGAGTAAGACAAGGAGTTACCCAAAAATTAAATGTGACTATTTCCGACCTGTCCTTTCTAGAGTAAAACTAAAATTAGGCTTAACGATGCAGTTTTAGTTAAAACAAAAAAATGAAAATAGATGTTCTGATTCTTAATAATAATATTAGATTTAGAATAAGGATCGGACATCTTTACAAACAAGTTACACTAGTACTTATCTGGTGTTAGGAAAACACAAGTTGATAGTTTTTGTGGGTAATTTATTAAATTTAACTTAGACATTTGTTAAGGCATTTTTCCAGTTTTTGCCGTCTAAGCTAAATTTAGAAAAAACAAGGATAATACTGGAAAATAAAAAATTTATGGAAGAAATAGAACATGTAGTGTTATAGAGAAAGTATGTTATCTATAATTTGTGTTGTAGCATACAGATTTTAAAATATTACTAAATAATGAAGGGGAAGAAGTTACCTGAAAAAATTTTGGGATCGAACTTGTTTAAATATTTTTTATTGTTAGAAAAAGCTTTGGAAAATTCTACCTCTAGACTAAAAGGAATTTCCTGTTTTTTTTTAAGAAACTGAGTAACTAGTACTAGTAGTCTAACAAATATATCGTTATATTCATATAATCTCATTGTCAAATGAAACATTTTAAAATTTTTCATTTCACAATTAACTGTTTGAAAATATATACCATAACAGTGTCATCAGATTGTCTATATTGTAATAGATTTATTATATATAAGACATTTGAATGGAATATAATGCAAAACTTGTAATAAATGTAACTGAGTGTGATATTTTAATATATTAAGATGTGGTGAAATGACTATTCTCCTTTAGGGTTTAAGAAACTTGGGTTGTTTAATAATGTTACGTACATTCATCAATAGTAATAGATGTATGTAATAATATATTTATTATATATAAGACATTTGGATGGAATATAATGCAAAACTTGTAATAAATATAACATTATGTGATTTTTAATATATTAAGAAGTGGTAAAATGCCTATTCTCCTCTAGGGTTTAAGAAACTTGGGTTGTTTAGTAATGTTATGTACATTCATCACTAACTTAAGAGAGTATTCCACACAAATTCTCTCCACAGTCAGCAGAATTGGCACACAGTAAACATAAAATGATGTTAGACTAAGTAACTACAAACAAATAGTGTGGACTTTAACCATTTTCATTTAATAGCCGCTGGAGAAATCCCTAAATATTGGAAAATTGCTTCTGTGTTTCCTTTTTCTTAAATGATCTAAGAAAAGACATCAGAAATTCTAGGCTAACGTAATACCTTAAAATGGGTTTGAATCAGTTAGGAACACAGATTAGGATCTTTTCGTACTGTAATGTTAGTGATTGTACTGTTACACTCATTGTGTAAAAGTGGAACATAATATATGGCAAGAGACCATTTGGACCTTAAGGCACCCTGCACACCCACCTCTGAGAAAAATAAAAATTTAAATGTAATCTTTATTTTTCAGAAAATCATCATTTCTACACATAAACCTGTAAAGAGTCAACCTCCACTGCTGGCAACAACAACTCATTCCATAAGCAAATCATTGTTAGAAAAATTAAACTTGTCTTCATTAGAGCTTAAACTTGCTTCCTCCCATCCTGTTGTTTTCAGAATATATCATAAAGAAATTAGAGGCCTTTATCCTATGAACCTTCATGATAATTTTGTGATATTAAGTAAAATCACCTCTTACCCTTCTTTTCAAGAGAAAATAAAATATTTCAATCTTTCTTCATAAAATAACTTCCATTCCCAGAATCATTTAGTAGCCATCCTCTGAACCATTTCCATGCAGTCAGTATCTTTCCTTAGATACCGAGGCCACAACTATACACATTGTTCCAAGTGAGGTGTAACTAGTGATTTGTATAAAGAGATAAATACCTCTTTTGGCTTGTAAGCAGCATGTCTAAATACACCCTAAAATTTTTATTAACTTTATTACTAGCAATAGAGCAAAACCCTGATGGCTTGAGTGACTTTTATACTGCTTTGTCAATATCCTTTTCTTCAGCCACAATACTGAGTGAATTCTCATTTATATTAAACATGTGATCCATATTATGATGACCCAAATGAATTACCTTGCACTTAATATAATTAAAGATTATTTGCCAGATATTTATCCAATTTACCAGTTGATCCTAATCATTCTGTAATACCTAAGAATCCTCAGTAAGACTTAAAATACCCAAGAGTTTGATGCCCCTGCCAATATCATTAATGTAAATAATAATATAAATGCAAAGGCCCGAGCAAGGTTTCAGTCTGGCTGGACTCCATTAATAACATTTTGCTCTCTCCCATCCAACCACCCTACAGTGCAGTTAACTAGTCTTTGTTCAACCCCTTTATGTTATTTTCTTATCAGTATCTTGTGTGGCACCTTATCAACAGTTTTTTTTGAAAATCTGAGTACACACCAAATACACCCTTCCCAATGTCTAGATAAGAAGTAATATCTTCAAAAAAGATAACAGATTAGTAAGACAAGATTTCCTTTTGGTGAATTCATGTAAGCTTTCATGTATGATATCATATGTCATTAAATGAATTGAAAAGCTTTTATCAGATGCTAGAAATTTCCCTCTACAGAAATAAAATCAACTGGCTTATAATTTCCGGGGCTACTCTTAACAAACACATTCTTTTTTTTATAGTTCATGTAGGAGTGAATTATGTTGGAAGATACAAATCAGAAGAGCTGCTTTAAAAGTAAAAGGTATTTAGGTATAGAAATAGACATGTGACTCTTTTGGGAGTGTTTTCTTGGTTAGATGTGGGAATGAATTACTTAGCAGAATCCAAGGCTTAAATAAAAAATTATCAAGAATATGCTTAGAGCAACAGATGGGCTGGTTGGACCAGTGGGACAGTTTTCAAGGTAAAGGTAAAATATGTTACAGATGGGCTCCATTTAAGCAGGCTAAGCAGCTGGATGTTTTGGGAAGCACTAAAGAAATTTATGAAAAACAGATCAAAATAAAACATATAGTGGTATGGAAACTCAGGAAATTTGAAATAAACAAGTTGATGAGAAAGCTATGGCAATGAGGAGACTGGATAAAGATTTAGATCATAGGTTTAAAGATCTGCTTAGTTGCTATTATTCTAATGTTAGAAGTATGTGGAACAAAATGGATGAGTTCAGGGCTTAAGTTAAATGGAAGACTATGATATGATGGAAATTACTGATGCTTTGTTAGAGTTACAGAATATTGAAATTCCATGTTATAACTTATTTAATAGTGATTGACTTTAAAAGAGGGTGTGTGGAATACTTTATATAAGGGACTGATCTATTGTGAGTGAAGGCATAAGAATGATAGTCAAGCGGTTGAATTTATTTGGGTTAAAGTCAGAGGTTTAAATGGTTAAAAGTTTTTAATTGGCAATTTTTATAGGGCTCTTAATCAGACAGGTGATGTCTATGTGAAATTGTATGATGAAATCAGGGCTGTTACTAATAAGAATACAGAATTTTAGAACTGTAAATTAACTCAATTATATTGTTTAATCCCCTGCAAAATAACTGATTAATCAAAATTATGATTAGCTGATTAATATTACATAAATAATCAAAGTTATGATTAAATAGATTAAGTTCATGAAAATAATCAACTAATCAAAATTAATGTTTCCAATTGTTACTATTTGTGATTATTTCAACTGTTCAAGTCTCATGTGAGAATAATTGATTAATGAGCACAACTATTAATCGATTAGCAACTTAAATTAATATCTAACTCTTTTGATGTTTTAAATGTAGGAGACTAGTTTTATGACACACACTTATTACAATTGTATGGAATCAAGTAGTGATGGATAGAGGTTCCTTGAAGTTATTCAGGAAGAATTTTCATACCAAATGGTTAAAAGACAACCATAGGAGATGCAACTTTAGTTATTGTTAATTACTAATGAAGACATATTTGCAAGTGCTGAAATAGTGAAACATTTGGGAAAGTGATCATTGCATAACTAGATTTGTGTTTATACATTTTGAGGTGAAAGAAAGTTTAGTCCTAATTTTTAGGAAGCCAATTTTGGTGTCATGAGATGATTTATCATTAATAAACTGGGATAATGAATTAAGATATGAAGTTTTGGAGATTTAGAAAAATTTTCAAAATGTTTTTTACTTCAAATAGAGGTAAAAGAATAACAGGGAAGATAAAACCAATTGGCTTACTAAAGCATAAATGAGAAAGTCAAGAATAAGTACAATAAATAAGATTCAGTTTAAAAGCTAGAGATTTTGTTTAAAAAAATGAATTAAAAAATGTAAAAGGGCTTATGAGAAATAGCTGGTTGATAATGGTAAAATTAATAGCAAGGAGTTTTTCTATGTATACTAAAAGTTAGCAAGATATTTAAATAGAGATTGGGTCCTTAACTTCCTGAACATTGGTAGGTTATAGTGCGCATGTTGTAACCTTTCTACAGTAAGTGTATCTTTACAAAATATAGCAAGCTTTTAGTCTTTTTTTCTTTCTAGGATGATTGCAGATTGTAACAAACAACCACACATATTTTTATAGCTAAATTTCTCATTTAATTTAATTTTCTTTACAGTTGCATCTAGACTCTCTCACACTATTCAGATAGCTGTTTATTACATGGATTGCTTTATTTAAACAAAAGATCAAGTTACCAGTGCATGTTCGTCAAATCACACAGTCTTGCTTGCACTGAGTATGTGCTAAATGAATAGTTTGTTCACTTAAGTTTCTTTTCAACATTATAAATGACTAATAATTTTTATGTTTTAATTTTTTATGATAATAAAAAAATGTACAACAAAAAAGAAATTCAATACTTACATCTGAAATCTTGTGTTTCTAAGGTTTTTGTACTCATACAATAGAAGTCTACATAAAACTGAAGGCCTAAATCTTAGTAATGATAGTATGGTCTTTAAAAAAATTCTAATATGCAATTTAGAATATGAAGTTTTGTCACTAATATAAAATAGAATGT